GTGTGTGTGTGTGTGTGTGTGTGTGTGTGTGTGTGTGTGTGTGTGTGCGCGTGTGCGCGCAGATGGACGGACCGTTAGGGATGCAGTCTTATATCCCCAAGAGAGGAGGCCGAGGTCAGGGATCAAAGCCCCACACAGCTCTGTGTCGGGGGACTTCACAGAGATCCAGGATGAAGCTCCATTATGCAGTTTGTGCGAATGAAGCCAGCGACAGCAATGGCGGGCGTGTGTGTGTGTGTGTGTGTCTCTTCTGCCGGGCCGTTGTAGCTTTGCACATTGTAGCAGTGCAGCTGGCACGTGCTTGCCACACACACACACACACACACACACACACACACACACACACACACAGCAGTGTCTAGAGAGGTCTTTTAATTAAGGGATTTGTTAATTTTCTATTCAACCTGACAGTGATGAATGGGGGAGCAGGGCCTGCCCATCTCAGGCTGTTGGGCAGACAGAGCTTCCTCGGAGGCCTCGGGTGTGATCGTCACACTCTGAAAACCAAATTCACACGTGAAGAGTTTTTTAACCCTTTGAAAGCCAAAGCTTTAGAGTCACTGGAGCTGAACCCTAATAGACGTGATTCACACTCTGTGGCAGCCCGTGTGGAGGCCAGATAGCACCGACAAGTAAACAGAGGGAAACAATGGCAACACATTGTGTGAACAGAGCTGCTATTTGGCTCCAATGGAAGTAACTCTTTGACTCCTTCTTGTTATCTGGGTGGGTTTATCAGGCACTCTTTCTAAGAGCCTTTAAATGCCTCAAATGTACTTTTATTGCTTCTTGCTTCTCATCACCTTTGAGGGGTAAAAAACCCAGAAACTGTACTTGAAGTACAAATAATCAGTATGTATTAGTTTAAATGTATTAAAAAGACCATTAGAAAACTGAGCACATTATTCACACTAATACACCACCTTCCAGTTATTTGTATTATTATTTTAAAAGATAAGGCCGCGTTATTCTTTATCTTTGTCATTTTCAACAAATTCAATGAAAAGACCAAAACCAAGAGTGCGTTAGTTTGTGTCTGAATATAATAATCCCAAAGACAATTGGTTTCTACTGAAGATCTCAAGAACACATATACATACATACATACATACATATATATAGTTTATTTTTGGTTTTTAAGGCTTGATACTTTCATGAAACATCGGCGTCACATCTAGCAAACATTACTCAAACAGGAGTAAACAATGCGCTTACAGCTGCGGATTGATACCATTTGGTTCTTGTGGGTATTTACAGCAGCAGGACATTCACTCAAATACAAACCACAGTATGTTTGTTACAATGAAGGAACATGAAACAGCAACTCTGATGTGTTTTTAAATGTTTTTGTACAGAAACAGGCGCAGGAATGAGTCCACACTTCTGCACGTCGGTTGTCTTGTCTCGAGGTTGATGTTTTTATTCTATTTTATTAAAGGTCTGTAGTTAACACGAGCTTAAGAGATTCTTATGTTTTGTTCTACAACATAAAATACATCAGTAAATACCCAGTCAGCATGTTTCTTACTTGTACGCGTCTTAAAGAAGCCGGTTGCTAACAGGTGGCTAAACTAGACTATTAAATGTCCGCCTGGAGCTTAGTGGAGGTGAAGCTGGTTTTAGTCTTTTCGTGGGATTTGCTCACATAAGAAAAATATAAGACAATTAGTATCCATTTAAATGACTTGATATCCTATAATAATAATAATAATAATAATGATAATAATCCTATTGGGACTGATGTGCTTGAAATATACACACAGCTAAAACGAATGCAGTCCATCATGAAGTGCTGATTCATCATTCTGGTTCTGCGTTATACTGCAGGTGTTTCTCATATTCACGTTTATATCAATGACAGAAACATCTCTCACTAAAAAGCAATACAAAAATCAAACTACGATCTCAAAAGCAAGCATGAGGTTGAATCCACAGTTGATTTATTACAGGACTGTTGCACTACGTGTACCTAATAAACTGGCTACTGAGTGTATGAAGCTCTGGCCTCTTTTAAAGCTGAATTAAAAACTCTCTTGTTTCCCTGTGTCTTTGATTTAGTTTCCTTTATTACATTTGAGGTGATTTATTGCACTCCCTGTTTAGTATTTGTATCTGATCTTACTCTTCTTTAGCTGCTCTGTTGTGTTTGTGAAGAGCCCTTTGTGCCAAACAAACACACATAAACTTGCCTTGAATCCTTCTTCTCATGCCACACATGGTTCTGGAGGGAAAGCTGCAGCCCGCTATCACATCACGGGACTCCAGATGAAAGTCTTCAAACGTGGAAGTGAATGTATTTCATTTGCATTATCAATACTTTCTTTGTTGCTGCCAAGCACATTCTGCTTTAAGAGCTATATAGGCACCCTGAAGCAGCAGAGCCACATGTCATACTGGCCCCGATGCAATGGATCTATTGTGATTTGTCAGCTATTCATCTGTTAAATGCTCTCTCATGATTTCCTTTGTGCATGCAGAGCCGGGGGTGACCTTGAAAGTAGACCATGTGGTGTATTCTGATGATAATTTATTCTCACATACTAGAAACTGTCTCACGAACATGATTTTTCTTCATGCTTCGTGCCGTCGACACTCGCTGGAAACCTTTATAGCAGCAGCCGACGTGTTCTCTTTTCAAAGAAGCATTTCTTAGGATTTATAGGGTCCTGCACATTTTGGATTTTAGCGTCAAATTCAATCCTTTTGTAACCAAATACAGGTCCTTCAGCATTAAATACTGATTACCAAAGGAGACAAACCTAAAGAAAAAAAGCTTCTAAAGTTCTGATAAACAACATTGAATCCAGAAGTAGGTTGATCAAATTGTGGGTTTAACTTTTTATATAATTCTCCCGATAACACTGAACCACAGGATCATTTTCAGAGACTCTCTAAGTCTGTGAAGGACTGATATTGATTTATTTCATCAATGAAACCCCCCACGCTGTTGGCCAACTGGATCTTAGCTCCAATTTCCAAACACAAGACATGCAAACGACTTTGGTCTCAACTTCAACTGCCTTTAATATTTCACTTGAGGGTCTGACAAATATAGTAACACAGTCATTGTCCCTGCAGTCAGGTCAGTCATCAAGCCTGTCTCACTGAGCTTTAACTGACACACACACACACACACACACGCACGCACGCACGCAGGCAGGCAGGCAGGCAGGCACACACACACACACACACACACACACACACTCACACTCACACTCCGTTTTAATGCATATTAATGAAGGTAAACGGGCCGCTGTAGAGGAGACAATGGAGCAGAGGAGGGCTGGTTGTGAGCACAAAGCCGTGGACTCGGGGGAAGCAGAACAGGTGCAGGGAGGACCCGGCAGCTTCACGTGGAACAGCTCACTATAGGTTCATCAGTGCAGGAAGGGACCTGCTAATGTGTTCATATGCATGATGCTGATTTGGGTTTTTTTCGTTGTTGTGGTGCCCTTTGTACTAACATCGCCATATGTACAAGGAAACAGCCTTCGGTCTCTATCATAATGCTCCTCTGAATACTGACGACTATGTGAGAGATGTGGGACAACATCCACAGAAGAAATGTGACCCTATGCTTGAAGACTCTTCATAATCTAAATCCCTTTATAATCTAGTGTGTGGGCCAGTAGCTGCCAACCTTCAGTGGCTGGTGACAACCTAAAACAGAGCTGCGTCTATGCGGCTGCTGGTCAGATCGTCTATAAGTTGTGATGTGTGTCTCTTCATTCTCAGATGGGTTTTCTTTCTGAATGTTTATAGTCGTAAGTCTTCCAGTGATTCCCAAGCAAACATTAGAATAAATGAAATATGTCTGAGACTCTACGCAGGTGAGGAATTGTTCCCGTTCTGCAAACATCAGGCGGCACATTCTTGTCTATCGTCTGTAATCTCGGGGGATGCAGGAACAGACTGTAGTTGCAACAATATCTTTTATCTGTATTGTGCAAAGTTATCCAAAGATCTTTGAAAAGGAAACCTCCAATGATTCTAGACACACACATCAGTTTTCTGCTCCGCTAATGTGGAAACAGTTTTATGATGTTTTCTGTGGCTCTCAAAGCTTGTCAAGTCTGAGATATAGTCCTGTGATGTACTGAAGACGTTCTGAGCTGAGCTTAGACTAATATACACATGGCCCTGAACCACATGTTAAGGGTGAGAGGCTATGAGGATGTAGGCTCCAGTGTTGAACAAACAGTCGAGGTGTCTTGGCCTCTGCTGCATCGATTTTGACTTTTCTTTTTCCGTTTCTTGAAAGTCGTCTGACTTCATGGAAGTGTGATGCAAAATAAGCAGAAGGCCCCTTTAAATAAACCTCAGCTGGAAGCAAACAAAGTATCAGTCTACTTCTGTTCATTAAAAAACATCTGACTGTAAATTGACCAACAGATCAATCCCCTGTATAACATAGTTATGGGTTAACTTTACCAGGTTGATGTCTCACTAACAAGAGAATAAAAGATGTAATCAGTTTATCTCCAACAGGAGAGAGAACTCTCTTGCAACACAAAGAGATGCTCTTTCAGTGATAACAGTCACATCCTGGGAGGGATCAGCTCGGTACCTCCCTGCTCTGCTGCGGACCCTCCTCTGGAGCCAGAGAGAACATCAACTTGAACCAAACCACGCCCCCCTGTTTTATTCTGGGGGATTTATCAGCGCCTACATGTTGACTGCTCTGCACACTAGACCCAGCAAGAGAAGAGAGTAGACCCCCTCCGCCAGACCACTCATGCTGACAAACACACCTATTCACCTCTGCGGACGTTAGACTCTGCAGCTCCGACAGGATGGATTTCTTAGACAGCGGCTACCTGGACGCGCGGTCCCCGTATGACAACACCTTTAATTTTTGGAACGACTACCTCGGCCTGTCGACACTCGTGGCCAAAAACAAGATCAACAGCCCGTCCTGCAGCCCCAACTCCATAACAGAGTCCCTTAAAGCGACGCTGGGCTTGGAGGACGACTCCCCGGTTTGCTCCTGCGTAATTGGGCACGGCAGGGACAGCGACGGACACCTGGACTGCTGCTCCATCTACGATCTCAAGGAGCGCATCTCGCTGCTCAGGCCGTACGAGCACCTCGCGGGTGACTCGCCGCTGGGAGACAGAGACTCGCCCCCCTACAGGGGGAGCTTCGCCGGCCTCGACCTGCTCTCCATGGACCGGAGGCGCAAACAGACTCAGAGGGGCAAGCCGGAGCCGAAGGTGTGCGTCTTCTGTCGGAATAACGGCGCACCGGAGGAAGTTTACGGCACCCACATCCTGAAGACGGCGGACGGCAGAGTCCTGTGCCCGATCCTCCGGGCGTACACCTGCCCGCTCTGCAGTGCCAACGGCGACAACGCGCACACCATCAAGTACTGCCCGCTCTCTAGAGACCAGCCGAGCCAGAGAGTGGCGAAGGGAGGCAGACCGACCGGCAAACGGCTGAAAACCTTCTGAAGCAGGAGATGAATGAAGTTTGAGTTGCACTGTAAATTACTAGTGTGTATGGCAGTGAGTTTGCCCCCCCCCCCCCCCACCCCCATTTCATGCACAAGACAAGTCTGGAGTGAAAGAATAAGAAAATAAGATTTTTATTAGTATTGTTTTGCGTGTCACTGCTTCATTTGTAATGGGTTTATTTTGGTCTATCTTGCAACTCTGTGGGCACATACTTTACACTTGGATGCATTGCGCGCAATACCCCCCCCCCCCAGCACTCTTAAGGACTTGGTGATAATACAATGAACCAAAGTACTGTACAGATCGACCTGTGAATGACCACCTTCATGCTGTAATCAGAAGCACAGTGCCAGTGCAGACAGCCCTGTGCATGTCAGCGGGCTGCTCTGGCTTTATCAGTTTATTATTAAGAGATGCCAACGTGAATGAATATGCAGCACTCCTGATATGAGATGAATGTTTAGTCCCAGAGTCCATTGGCCCGTGGATGGAAGGAGTCGGACACATGCTTTCCTGCAGATAAATGTTTTCTACCAAAGGAATAGACTTTTGTATTGAGACGTAGCCTAAAGGGTCATTTCTGTATTGTTTCTATGTTCATGTCTTATACTCATGATGTGGCTTCATGCGGATAGAATGTAAAAGGAAGATGTGAGACACAGCACATGCTCTTCAAGTAGCTCCAAGCTCCATTATTTCACTTTACTCTTCAAAAACACGGATGCTGAATAGATTTCTTTTTGTTTTAAGTGGAACTCTTGTAAATGTATTAAAGGGTGAAACAGTTTAGCAATGCAAAGCCTGACATTCCAAAGTCTTTATCTATCAATAGAAATGTTTTATGTACTTCTCTTTTTACTTTATGTATCATTGGGAAATATATTCTCTGTAGATGACTCTGAATAAACATGTCATTTGCATTTTTCTTTGACTACAACTGATTTGAATACACTTCATCATGAAGGTGCAGCAGAGGATGTGACTCAATGTTTATTTTGATTAGATTATTTTGTCACAACTGTATTTCCTCTGAGATAGTCACACTGCGCCATCTAGTGTCCAAACCTTGAATGACAATAACCTTTCTTAAAAGATCTGCACTGGACTCTAAGCACTGGGTTATTAATAAAGATGATGTAGTAATATAGTCAATTAATGAAGAGCTGAGCTGAGATAATACATGCTGTTATTCATGATGGATTGGTCTCACGTGAGACTAGATCAGGAAGATCTTTAGTGTTTGAAATGTAGTGAACCTGGTTGACTTGTGTGTAAGCTCACCTGTCTGACTTGTGTGTAAGCTCACCTGTCTGACTTTTGTGTAAGCTCACCTGTCTGACTTCTGTGTAAGCTCACCTGTCTGACTTGTGTGTAAGCTCACCTGTCTGACTTGTGTGTAAGCTCACCTGTCTGACTTGTGTGTAAGCTCACCTGTCTGACAACTTGTGAAGAACCTTCCTGCTCAATGCCGGCACTTAAAAACATCTCCTTCAACCTCAAAGTCCAGACATGTCTGCATGTTGATACGTTCATATTTTAGTTTCCTTTACATGGAACAGTTATCGAACATCATTTCAGCATTAAGGGACATCAAGGAAAGCAAACGTTATGATGATTCACAGGCCTTACTGGGCGGAGACAGACAGCTGGTGGGCGTTTGTTGTTGCTTTAGTTCTAGATGAAACCTTTCAAAATGAGATCTGTGGATTGTCGTAAGTAACCGTGTCCTATTTAAAAACATCCCTATCTTGGTGCTGTGAGCATGGCATTATTTTCAAAAGATTTGAATTGTCACTCACTGTAGTTAAAGGAATTACATCTGATGGCTTAAATACTTAGTCACACAAAAACACTCCCGCTACAGAGAGGGAGAAGATCGGATTGTGTTTTTTTGGCGAGCTGTCCCTTTAACTGTTAACCAATCAATGAGGTTTATTGACCTCTATTGGCAACTACTAAGAACTGCAACAACATGAATGGACCCGATCAGCCTCTAGACAGTGAACAACACACAGCTGCGTTTGTGTTTCTATTGGAGCCCAGTGTTCATGTTAAATGATCAGCACATCAGCCGCTGCTGTGGCTTCCAGGCCGTCATACATCTGTGACAGGAGGAACCGTTCTCTAACCCTATAGGGTTAGAGAACGGTATAGGCTCCATCCTACGTTATAACGTAGGATGGAGCTTTAAGTGGAGAGAAACATATTGATTGACTTTTTGGGTGAACATGGAACAACCTGAGAGTGTCTTCCTCTACAAAAGCTTTGGATGTACATTGATCCTAAAGGAATAATTGGATCAGATGAAGTAACTTCTCATCTTTTAGTTTGGAAACAAAACCCGAGAGGAGAACTAAATGGTGTCACGTGATGGCATTCTAATATTGCTTTATCATTTGCATGTTTAAGGCTCGATGTGTGGTTAGACTCCAGGGGATGCAAAGAATTCCTTCCCAACATTCCTGACTTTATGGAATCCAGCATGGTGCTTTAAGCCCTGAACGTTCTCAGGCCATCTTGCCTTCATCAGGGTGGTACTGTTGATGTGCATTCTCAAACTACACACTACTAAACCCACACTCTGCCAATAAACTGTTTATCTTGTGTGAGAAATCCTAATTATTTTCCCTTTACTGTCAGGGGTCAAATAGTGAGTCCAGCAGGATTACACATCCTGACACCCCCTAATGCTCCTAAAGAGACGACGGTCTTACAACTGTACCAAGTCCGAAGTGTCTGAAACAGAAACAGGACCCCCTCTGACTCATCTCTGGATGTTACACAGGACCGTTTCTCTGTGTCAGCAGATACAGATTCTTCCTCGGTGGTGTCTCCCAAAAACTGTCGGTGTCGGGACATCAGTGACTCATCGATGTACAATCTAGATAGATCAAACTGATTCTCTAATATCTAGAGCATCGTGAAGGACATTCATAGCAATACAGGAAACAATGAAGAGTAGTGATGAACAAAGAGAAGTACGTAAGATGATCTGTAGAAGTATAACCAGCCATCTGTTAAATGTTCAGAAAGGTTCTTGATATCTGTGTATGTGGGACTATTCAATCATCGTTCATATGATTCACATAAAGCAGTGGGCACTTATCAACCACATCAATCTATTTAAGTACCAAGCAATCTGTGTGCCAATTCATTCATTGTTCTCTAGAACATTAAAACCTTTAAGTGGTGACCGTTAAAGTAAATGCCCCTTTACGTGCTTTGTATTGATCTCTCAGACGGGTTGTTTCCAGTCATTTCCACTGTAATAATAAGGATGTGTTTATTCTTTGAGAGATGCATTGGAGCCTGCATTCGGGGAATAAAGTGGAGTAAAAGAAGCCTACAGAAATGCATAGAGTTATGAGAGTAAGCAATTTTTAGGACAGATTAAAAGAAAACCTGCACTACCACATCAGGTCTGCCTGTTTAGGCTGAGAGAGAGTCTGAAAACCAACCTCCTCCCTCTTCACTGCAGCAGGCTGCTATTGGCCTGGTGGATGCTGACAGCACAGATGCTTTCATGTGGGGGGGGGGGGGGGGGGGCAGCCTCACTCTATAAGAGCCAGGGATCTGCAGCATCACTGAGCTGGTGCAGTGCAAAACGCCCGCTCATCCTCACCGATGGTGTGCAGAACAAGGGGGACATAAAAAAAAAAACCTTTTGAAACTAAAAAACATCCTTTTCTTAAACAAACAAAAAAATCCACAACAAAAAATTCACCATGAGCTACGATTCCTTCTCCTCCCGCCGCCCTTGGGACAGCTACAGAGGCTCCCAATCCACCACCAAATCCTCCATGTCCTCCTCCCTCTACTCTACTCCTCGAGCTCCTCCGTCTGGGAAGAGGATCCCGAGGCTGCTCTCCTCTTCCCTGCCAGACGGGTCTGAGCGGATGGACCTGGCTCAGGCCAGCTCCCTCAACACAGAGCTGATGGGCCTGCGCTCCCAGGAGAGGGAGCAGCTAGTGGACCTGAACGACCGCTTCGCCACCTACATCGACAAGGTGAGGCACCTGGAGCAGCAGAACCGAGCCCTGCTGGCCGAGCTGGAGGCACTGAGGAGGCGTCAGAACGACCCGTCCCGTCTGCAGACGCTTTATGAGGGGCAGTCGCGGAGTTTGAGGGCCATGATAGACTCGGAGAACGGGGATAAGATGCGGATGGAGGCGGAGAGAGACTACCTGCGTGATGTGTACGAGCAGATGAAGGAGCGCTTTGAGGAGGAAGCGAGGCGGCGCATGGATACCGAGGAGACCCTGCAGAGGGCCAGGGAGGAGGCCGACAGGGCCGTGCTCTCCAACTGTGACGGCGAGGCCTCCGTGGTCTCTCTCTGCGATGAGATGGTGTTCCTGAAGAAAGTCTTTGCAGAGGAGCAGGCAGAGCTGCAGGCCCAGCTGCAGGTGGCCAACATCAGCGTGGATGTGGAGGTGTCCCGGCCCGACCTCTCCACCGCCCTGCGAGACATCCGGGCGCAGTACGAGCGGCTGGCCAGCAAGAACATGCAGGCCGCCGAGGACTGGTACAAGGGCAAGTTCACCAGCGTGGCGGAGATGGCCAGCAAGAACAACGAGGCCGTGCACGCCATCCGGGAGGAGACCATGGAGTACCGCCGGCTGCTTCAGTCCCGCTCCTCTGAGATCGAATGTCTCCGGAACGTCATCGACTCCCTTCATAAGCAGCTGGAGGATCTGGAGGACACGCAGGCCAAAGACGTGGCAAAGTACCAGGTGAATGAGGGTTAACTGGATCCTGATCTGCATGAATAGTCACCCAATAGGGGAATGTGTACCAGTATGTGGGACCTGGTCTGGTGCTCTCAGAGCAGGAGCAATCTTCTCCTCCAGCAGAAAGAGGAACGATGGCATGTAAAAGGGTTTTGGCCTCAAGGTCAGACATCAGATGCGTGAAAAGTAGAGCTCAGCAGGAAATGCTGGCAGGCTCACAGCGACTGTCCGAATGAACTGTGAGAGCACAACGTAGCAAATCTCTGCAAGCAGAAAAAGTCCCTCATGTGTAGCATCACTAACTGTGATATTAGATAATGAATGTCTGTGTTTTTCATGCACTTATAGATGAGGATCAGTGAGCTGGAGCGGGACATCACTGACGCCAAGCAGGAGATGGCGCGCTACCTGAGAGAGTACCAAGACCTCCTCAATGTGAAGATGGCCCTCGACATTGAAATAGCTGCGTACAGGTGAGATCTGGATGTGGACATTTAGTTCTTCTTAATCAAACGTGTATGATTCTATGACTATGTTTTAAAAGATGTTTATTTTATCTCTACTTTCACACGACTGACAAAAATTCAGTTTTTCATACTTGTATTGTGTAAATACGTGAACAAATGCAGAGTCAGGATAAAGATCATCTGTTTTCTTTCCAGGAAACTTCTGGAGGGGGAAGAGATTCGTCTGGCTTACCCTTCCTTTCCCGCCCTCAACTAAAACCTAAATGCCACTAGCACGGCATCAACCTGAATTCTTCACACCCCTGACCTGAACATCACCCCTCTCCCTCCCTCATTTCTCTTACGTTCTCTCCCCCAAATACTCCCCTCCATCCTTTACTCCTCCCAAAACCAAACCAAAGCTCATCCTTTCTCAAGACAGATGCGCCCTTGTGCTAAACAAGAGGTCCACCAGAAGTCCCCCTTCTTCTATACACATTCTGACACCGCACATCAAGAAGATGGCAAACTCTAAGATGCAGAGTGGCTGCACTGCATTAGTGACATAGCTAAGTCGGACAGCTGTATTGTTTTGGCTGAGTTCCTCTCTGTCACACACGTGAAGGTCCAAGCAGCAGAGATACTATTCGACTCTTCTGATCCCTCGTTGTGCAAACATTTAACCAATTGTTTGTGAAGGAGGACAACTATCCCTTTTATCTCTCGATGCTTGGACTTTATCCGTGTTTGAACTGATGCAAGAAACCTGCAGCATTATTGATCAGGAACTCTCCCAATCGATCCTGCATTGTCCTGCACCCCTGGTTCTCTAGCAGTCAGTGAACCAGTGACCTTAAAACCTTTATTTTCACCATATTAAAGACTCATTTTTGTCCTTTTTAGTTATTCTTCCTCTGCATTTACACAAATACCAGACATATTGGTTGGTTTAAAAACCAGAGTGAGTTTGGGTCTTTCTATTTGGCTGGTTATTTAAATTTCTAATTGAAGCATTTGGACATGTAAATGCTTTGGAAGACTAAATTGTTACTGGTTTCTCCTTCTATTCATGCAGTGCGTCTCACAGCTTATCTGCATTAGATTTGTTTTCTGTGAGTTCATTCAAAGCTAAATAATGAAACTGAAAGATAAGTGCAGGAGCTCCTTGTTGTTTGTCTGCTGATGTTAGACCTAAACGGTGCTTTACATCTGTGAAACTAATACAAAGTCTGCACGCTCGGTGTACCTGTAACAGCCGGCAACAAGCTGAATAAACATATAACTGACCTGCAAATCACTTCACATCTCCTGTCTTCATTTGACACTTATGAAGCGATTCATGCTGCTTAAACTTCTCCTTACTTACCTTACTCTCAATGTCACAATAAGCGACACAGCGGCACTGCACCATTTCCCATCATTCCATGTTCTTGGCACGCTGACTGTAGCTGTAATGTGTTGGTACCTCGCCTCAGCATCATCCGTCACCAGGCTGACACCCGGCATCCCACTGCACCCTGAAGAAAGATACACGCAAAAAATGTAATTTGTACCTCATATTGTGAGTGTAAAACAATAGCTCAACATACATAACATTAAGTATTGTGTCCCTCTCTCGTTCTAAGAGCCAGTTGGACTCTTCTGTTGAGAACATCAAATACAAAGTCTGTTATTTTTAGTTTTAGGTTACTTGGTTCGCAGTAGACGAGGCATCTATTTTAACACACATTTTACAAACAACACAGACAATAGCCATCATAAGCGTAATCAAGGCTCCAATATCACTAAAACACTCAAATAAATTCCCCCATTTCACAATTACATTTACAAGTACTGTACTTAGGTATAATTTAGAGGTACTTGTACTAGTGTCCTAGTATTTCCATGTAATGCTACTTTATACTTCTACTCCACTACAATTCAGAGGGAAACACTGTACTTTTTACTTTTAATTAATACCTATGTAAGTTGTTATTTTGCAGATTCAGATTAATCAGAATCAGCGTTATTGATTAATTAATAAAATCAACAAAGAAATGATGCGTTATTATATCTTAAAATAAGACTTTATCGTATCCACATTTACGAGCTGCAACATTAAAGTCATGTACACATTAATTTATCAATAATTATAATTCAGTCATTTAATATTATTCTGATATTTTCTACTCTATTTATACTGTGCTGTTGGTACTTCCAAGAATACTTTTGAACTTTTACTTGTAACAGTGTACTTCTAGTGCGATATTGCTACTCTTATTTAAATAAAAGATTTATATACACATTTGTTTGACAAAGTAACTTATAAACAGTTTATACATGTTTGCCTGCTTAACAATTGTGACGCTAACTAGCTACCTAGCTTCGTAGCTAGCTATCTGTCATTATTGTTAAGACAATAACACCGGTGTAGGAGAGCCATTCACTCTGAAAACCTGTTTAATACATCAATAAGGAGCACATACTGCTTTTTATATGGTCTATGACATACTGATATTTTAAAAAGCATCGTCTGCGACCTACAGATGGCGGTAGAGGCTAACGGACGCCTTAGCCGTCCTAGCTAGCTACGCTGCTAATTACTTCCGCCGGTCAGAGGTTACCAAAATGGCCGCTGCCTTCTAGCGATAACATTTCTGTCTCAATGTTAACTTTCAAATGCTTTTGATTAACCTGTTACGTTAAGCGACTTACAATCTGCACCCCGGGAGCCACATTTCGACGCCGTCATGTTCCAGGTAATCGGGGGGAGGAGCGTGCAGGTGACCCGGCTCCTCGCACCTAGGAGCCCCGTGATCGTGGAGGCTGTCCGGGAGAGAAAGTCCCGCACCGACCCGGTGGCCAAGTCCAAAGAGGGGCGAATCAAGGTGCCTCCTCCGGTCGATGCGACGGAGATGGTCGTCCTCAAGGAGAGATACACGGAGTACCAGATGATCACGAGGGCGCTTCGGTACGTTAGCGGGTCACCTGGTGTTGTGGCAAATTCTGTCTCCCTGCTCAAAATCTGTGGCCCCCAAACAAATGTTAGACCGGATATTGTTCCCTCAATCCTCATCCAACACATATACAGCCAGAACTTGCCAACAGGTGCTGCAGAATTTCAGGTATTGCAAGAGAATTTGCATTCCTAGCATTGGTCAAATTCTCGCTGTGTACAAAGCTGGTACTATCTATAAGAAGTTTGAGGGAGTATTTTAAATTTGCATCCCCTAATTTCAATCAACACGGTGTTCAAATGTGTTTATTTTGAAGGAAGCTGGTAAATAAGATGAGATGAACTTTTATTGATCCCCAGAAGGGAAATTCGTTTTTTGCTGCAGCACAAAGACAGAATAAGTACAGTTAAACTCAAACAAGACTAAAGTGATTAATCATATTATAGTGTGTGTGTGTGTGTGTGTATCTCTCTCTCTCTCTCTCTCTCTCTCTCTCTCTCTCTCTCTCTCTCTCTCTCTCTCTCTCTCAATCAGTCCAACAGAGATCCATTTTTTTTTTTTTAAAGGTCAGCTAAATATCTTTTGTACTATTTGACAAAAGAAGCATTTTTCACAATGTCTGGCATGTTTTAGACCAAACGGTTAACTGATTAACTAAAAGCATTTGTTAATATATCGACAAATCAAAAGAAGCAATCTGCATGCTGTTTCAATATCGTACAATTTCCAAATTCTTATTTCCTTCAACAGAATAAATCAGCAACATGACTTTGCTTTGACGTTGACTATCTCTCGTTACATGCTCCTGTTTTAAAACCACTTACACCTCAACCCGTGTCTGATAAACATAAATGTTTGGTCGTTTAAAAACATAAACGAGAGATAATAATCTATAGTTGCAGCCTTGATATTACCAGAAGGATTCAAAAAATATTCCTTAAAATTATTCATAAGTCATTTTGTCAGAGTTGTGAAATATTGTGCGCTTGATAGTTTAAAGTTAAACACTGTACTTTAAAGTAAAATATTCTCTTTTGTCTCTCCTCTGTGTCTCGTCAGTCTGGAGTTTAAGGAGGAGGTGCTTCGGAAAAAGTACGAGGAGGAGACGGGCTCCCTGGCGGAGGAGAGGGCGAGGCACGAGGCGGAGGAGCATCGCGCCCTCATGGCCTTCAACAACCAGGAGAACCTCCGCCTACTCCAAGTCCGGTAAGAAGAAACTCCGAATCACAACATGACGAGTAGAAACCTCATTTTAGGATGCGATCAACCACTCCTGGTTTCTATTATCTTCCCAAAGTAACGGCTGTCGTTGTGCTCTGTCCCTCTCAGGATGTTGAGGATCCAGAAGGAAACGGAGGACGCTGAGCGTCAGCAGCTAGAAGCCGTCGTTCAGCGACAACAGCAGCAGCAAGAGTTCATCAAAGAAAAAGAGAAGGAGATTCTGAAGTTGCAGGTATGATTTATTTTCTCTATTTTTGTTTATCTGCTTTCTTTCTCCAAACTAGAGTAAAACATGTTTATTAAAATTGCTACTTTTTCATGTTTTGTGGTTGACAAAATAGAGGAAAATTTGAAATTCTGCCTCAAAATAACACGGTGGTTAAATTCCTATATCTGATCTCAACATATGCGACTCTTACAGGAGGATGCAAAGAACTTCATCACATTGGAGAACTTGGATCAGCGTATAGAAGCAGCTCTGGACAATCCAAAGAATTACAACTTTGCCATCGACAAAGAAGGGAGGGTTGTGAAACAGACGACGCTGCAGTGAAGCACCAGAGCGACCTGTTGTGTGTCCGTCTCAGAGGACACACGGAGACGGACGGACGTCATTCAGGACTGTGAGCCGAGTTCAGTCTCATCCACCCTGGAGGCAGAAAAACATTCAGTGTTTGTAAGAACTAAGAAATATGTGAGACTCTTTCATTAGCAGATAACTTATAGATTAAAGCTTCATTTCCTGCTTTTATTCTTCATGTTTCTGCTTTATATTCTTTCTTATTTTACATTATCTGAGATGTGTTTTCAGACTATTAATATAAAGAAATAAATATAAATGCACCAGACGAGAGCGAGAGAGAGAGACCTAATTAGCTACCAGCAAGCTATTAAACAATGTTGTGTGACAGGAATAACCAGAAACACTGCATTCAATGATGATTGCTGAGAATAAATACAGCAAATCCTTTATGATCTTCATCATCCTACTGTAGTGAGTAGGTTTACATTAATATGCGATTAATCTCTAATTCTATAAAATGTCAGGATATTGTGTCATCAGTATTTCCTAAAGACTACGGTAACATTCTACGGTAAAGTTCCCCTCTTACGACCGATAACCATCCTTCAAATGACACAATTTAAAAATCACTCTGGGGTTGAATTTATATGAGTTCATGTGAGGTCATTCCCTTTATTAAAGAGGTCACAATACCAGTAACGCATTTAAATAGACGTGGTGTTGCTCTGGAGTCTAATGAGTGTGTTTACACCATCACTTTGGTCCTGCACATGCAGCTGCAGCCCTCTAGGGGTCGCTGTGAGCAGCTCCCCTCAGTGTTTACGGTGTTTCAGGCATTAAGCTTCTCATGTGTGACAACGTGCTGCTGAACCCCGTTAATCCTCTTCCGTCAGGCCGGGCGTGCAGGTTGATGGCATGAAGAAAGTCAGGAAACCTGCCGCGGCTTTAGTGTGAGGAGCAGAAATAAACATGGCCTCTGAACTCAGGTGATACTCTGAAGATACACACCTGCAGTGATCGTGCCACATTAACAGAGTAAATAAGAGTAAAGAAAATATACACCTACACTCATTTTACAAACAAACAACGTACAATAATCTTGTCATTAAAGACAATTTTAAATTCTTCATCTGTTTCTCCTCTTTAAAAACATAATCAGTTATAATCGAGTGTGTGGAGTTGAGCTCAAATATGTTCATTGACAGACAATTTATCTATTGTTTTATAATTATTGAATCATTTTGAAGTCATTTTTAGACATAAATTACAATCTTTCTCTGGTTTCAGTTTCCTCAATGTGAGGATTTTCTGCTTTTTCTCCATTTTAAACTGACTATTTTTCCGTAGATGTTTGAAAATGTTACTTTGGATAAAATAAGAAATGAATTGCTTAGTAGAATAATGTACATATTAATGGAAAGTAATTGTCTGAAAGATAATCAGGGTTTGTGTGTGTGTTCCAGTGGTTTTATTCTGAGCATTCATCGCTGTGAGGACTCCCTCTGTGGACTGACTGTAGTGGTCAACATCACAGGATGTGACCCGAGCTGCCATAATGCAGCGCACGCAGTTAATGTGATCGGTAACTCAGGTTAACGGGATTGTTCAACCGTGGCAGTGAAGGCTGGGATTACAAGTAGCACGACAGAGTAGATTGAGATGAACGCTCAGATTAGCAGCCGGTCACTACATCCAGCTTCCATTCAGTGTAAAGATGCTCTCACTCATTTAGAGGTGCATCTCTCAACCATTGTTTCTGAAAGAGAAGTTAAAAAATAAAATCCAGTGAGTATCTATTCAGCCCAACGGGGTCAATTCATCCTCAGACGGATTTAAACAGCAAATCTTTTTACGACTCCAAAAACACCAGAAACATTTCCCCAAACTGCTCATCGATCAAATGTCAACTGTAACAAGGTCAATATTGGTCTTATTGGAACAGCAAGAAAAATGCATTGTTCTAGTTCGCTTAATCCTAAAAATAGAAATAAAAAGTGTAATTTAGGATTAGAGAGATTGTTGTCATGGTAAAAAAAAAGAAGATATTTTTGGAACCCCAAATTATGTATTTCACACTTTGCTTTATTCTGTTTTTCTTTCTTTCAGGTTCTGGATGATTCAAATGAAACAAAGACGTAATCAGATATATTGTACATATTTACATGTTTTTACTGTCCATTTATCTATTCTATATTTATGTTTCTGGACGGTTGCAGTACTTACTGATATTTATATTTCCTCTTACTGTGTTTATTATTTTATGCACCAAAACACAAACACCAACCAACCACCATCTCCTCGTCTGTGAAAACCTGATGGTTTGAACTGGTCACGAGGTGTCACGAGAGGTCACAAGGGGTCACAAGAGGTCACGAGGGGTCACAAGAGGTCACGAGGGGTCACAAGGCCAAAATGTTGAGAGCCACATCCCTAAACCTGCAAGGATGTGACTTCACACAGTTTCTATTAAAATAAGCCTCTCGGATGCATCATCATTATCGTTCCTCCTCTTTATTGGGTGCAGCGGTGAGATTACATCAGCGCGCACACACAGACATTCTTGAGGATATTTGTAGTTTGTTTTGCCCGATAACATCTAAGTTCTGACCCTAAATGACTATTAATAGAAATACACAGACTAAAGCTACAGACGGCTTCAAACTGGTCCCAAAGAAAATTGACGAGCACCTCGATTTTAGCAATAAATACATTCACAAAATATAGTAACTCCAAAACCATTTCTGTGAGCAAGATGGCAGAAAACTGACCAGCAACTGATGTGAAAACCTTCAACCCAGAGCGAATGGTGCAGCTAATATGAACTGTTGTGATCTGAGGCAATGGGACGGTCTGATACCCATGAAGACCAGTAAGACTCCCACAGAGCTGCATCTGTTCCAGCTACTGCCTCAGTTTAAAATGTGCTAACGCTGCTCGCTTAAAGAACATAATAAACACCTCATTCATAACTCGGATCATTCAGAACATTCATTGTAATAAAAATAGAGCATTAGCTCACATTCGACTGAGAAAAGACAAACATTAGCACTTGAATATTCAAGTATATAAAAAGCATTCAGGGAAATACTGTTGGCTTCTTCCATGACTCCAGATAATATGTGGGCGAATGCATTTTGGTACCTGAAGAGAAAAAGGTTTGTGTGTCGCTTGTTGAGCTGGTGAAGTGTGATTCTATTAAAACCTGGATTAAGGGATGTGGTTGTTGAGCTGCCCGGGGTATTTCTCAAACCTCCTCTCTGCCTCCTCGCTGAACGCATCACCTGTAGGGATTCAAAGACAATCACCAGAGCAGTTAAAGACAAAGGTCTGAATACACGAGCTGAAGGTGACATGAAGTCATCTGTTAGTTTGAGGGTTTAGTCGGTTACCAATGTGGCAGTTATGGAGCCAGATCCGATGTCCGTCATATTTGCAGTTACACTTCATGGCGTTGTTGGTGAAGTCGCTTTCAGACACTTCCTGATTTGGATTGATAACAATCTGAAGGAGTCAGAAACATAAAGGGAACATTTTAAAAACAGAATAGACATATAAATATATATACATATGTATGTATATAAATATATTAGTGCTGGGCAAGTTATCATGTTAACGCATTAATTAATTAACGCCGACAATTATTTAATCTCGCATTAACGCATTTTTAAAATTTATTATTATTGTAACAGACCGTCTCATGTTTATCGTTTTGTATTGGAGATATGATGTCCCTTCAGGGTTGCTGTAGAGAAAAGGCGACTTCCGCTTCTGGTTGAGGGGGGGCAGAAATAAAGAGAGAAGCTGCACCAGCTGTTGCTCTCCCTGGAGACTACTGGACATCACTGCGGTAAAGTCAGCAGACACTCAGATCTCCGTGGTCAACTCAGCAGACACTTACATGTTAGTGCACCTATATGCTGACATTCACGGTAAACGCATTTAAACGGCACAGATCGGGAGCGAGCGAAGGACTTTGAAAGTTAGCGGAAAGATTAACGTGAGACAACATCCGGTTTGTTCAGACGAACATCCGGTTTTCAGAATAAGATGCCAACAAAGTATGAATTATATTCACATTAAGTATAAAACATGCTGCCTGCATCTCGTGAACCAAATGTTATTGCCCTTTTGTTCATATAGCAGTACTTTTGAAATAAAAGTGCGCAATACTTTTGAATTCATTCTTGAACTTTGCCATAACAATGCGATTAATCGCGATTAATCGCAAAAAATCCATGCGATTAATCGCGATTAAATATTTGAATCGTTGCCCAGCACTAGAATATATATTTGCTCGGCTCTAGGAAAGCTGGCGGTATTTGCTCACCTGCAGGATGTAGTTTCCAGGTTTGACGTCTGTGATGTCGATCCACTGGCAGTCGATGTCGTGTCGGTACAAATCCCAGCAGCCCACAGTGATGCCCTGATCGCCGAAGTTGGCGCACTCGTAGCGCTTAGAAACACCTGGGAGGCAAATAGATTCATTGATTTTAAGATGCATTAGTGAATCCATCATGAAGTATTTCATAATGACTCTTTGATCAGAAAGTTCCTGTATCTTTGCCTTTATTATCACTTGTTTAGATAAGACAGCTGGCATAGTGTCACCCAACATTGGTGCCACTTGTCGCTCTGCTGCTCTACGACTGGACTCTGTGGATCAGACTCACCCTCCTCACAGTCTGTGTCCTCCAGACAGAAGCTGGCTTTGTGGCCCTCGGCCACTCGGGTCCCGTTGGCGTTCAGCAGATCGTAGTGGGTGAAAATATCCATGCTGTGGTAGTGGCTGTGAAACACAGACAACACGTTGTTGTTAATGACAAATATGAGAAAATAACTCCTTTGATAACTGACAACACAAAACACTTTTATGACAAAATAACGGAGCTGCGTTGGTGTAAACTTCATTTCTTTGTGTTTTTCTCGCCCACTGAGACAAATGAGATGATATAAGCGCATCATTAAACTCCAGTCTGTCTCATCCACACAGTTAGCTGCAGTTGATGACAGATGATATTACCCGTGGCAGGCGTGCCAGACCCACGAGTGGCGCCCGGCCTTGGGCTTGAAGTCAGCCCGCCCGATGTTGTGGATCTGGGAGGAGAAGCGCAGCAGGCGTCGGTGGCCGTAGGGCCAGTTGGCCTTGGCTGCAGACTTGGACAGGCATTCCTCCTCGGCAGAGCAGTAGAGCATGTGCAGGGGGCGGTCCTCGATGTACACCGTCTGCTGGACCAGAGGGGCGTTCAGGACGAGGTCAGAGGTCGCTGCGTAGAGGGGCGGGCAGTAGGATTAGGGTTAGGGTTACACTCATGTAAATGTAACCGGCTTTACTTGATGCTTCTGTTCCATTACATGTATCTGACAGCTTCAGTTTAAACATCAAGATCGTTACACACAGAACATGAAAAATGTACAAGAAAAGCTTAAATGATTAGTCAATCATTTGATTGACAGAAAAATCAAATCATGGCAACTAAAAGTAAAAATGTCATGATGTCAATAAGCATCCTTATCCTCATGTTGCAGCTTCACAAATGTGAGGATTTGTTTTTCCTTAATCTCGATCTATCTTAATTATTAGTACGATTGTTTGGACAAAGGGACATTGTGAAGGAGTCGCTTTGGGCTCCGGGTAACTGTGACGGCATTTCTCACTATTTTCTGTATTTTTACAAACCAAACAATAAATTAAACAGCGGAGAAAATAAGCAGCAGATTGATCCATGATGCAAAATGAACTCCATCTGAACCAAATAAAAGAGTAGAATCCCGCATTTACATGAATGCATGAGCATGAACAATGTAATGATATAATATACCACAGTACAGCAGTCACAGGGAGTGTTTTTAGTGTATTAGTACTAAAGTAAAGGATGTGACTACTCCATCCACCACTGTTGTAATACAAATACAGCAATTTTGTAATAACGCGCTGGAATAAAACTACCTAGCGATTAGAATTAAGAACAATCACTTTTAATCAAGTTACTTCTTTAGTACAGCGCATGATATCAGTAACAGCTGATGGTTTGAGGGAGAGCTCCCGAGTTGTAACAATTCATAATTCTCTCATAGATGTTCGTTGGCTCTTGTTTCTGTGTTTTCTTGTCTACAGATCAGTAACACATGTGTGCGCTTGTCCTTTCCTTTCCGCTTGTTTCCTTCACTCACTGTCAGAGCAGATGACTCCCGCTGCAAACTTTGCTGCCGCTTTCTGGCAGCTGACGGTTTTGTGCTGCTGGCACTGACTCAGAGACATCTCGTTCCCCGTGCACTTCACGCCGCTCATGATCATCTCCGTCACGTTGCTGCTGTCCCAGTACCACGTCTCCTTGGATGGTTCAGACAGAAACAAGCACAGCGCACCGGTCAGGAGAGAACCGTGCACAGACGGAGCTGCAGAGAGTTCATGACTCATCTCTGGTGTAAAGCTGAGTTTATGATCACTGGAGGACAATAACCTTCACTGTGTGATTCAATAATCTGACTGGATTGTAATAATAATTGTGATATGTTTAAAGTATCTCTAAATCAATGAATTCATTCTTTTTAATGACCCAGTATATTGTAATCAGTCTTTACAGTCATATACCTCAATGCACTCTGTATATGAAGACACTTTGATAAGCTTTGCTTCTCTGTTCCCTCAAACACTTAGACCTGCTGCCACTTTGATTGGAATGATTTACAGGAATATTCAAAACTAATCAAGTTCCTCCTGCTTCATGTTTAACTTTGTAACTTCATTCGTCCTGACTCTGACTCTGTCATACTGTTGTTTTTATTCACTATTAATCATGTTTTATCTGTGTTTCTCTGAGTACGTTTCTCCTTTAAACAATACATTTGTTCAACATCTCATCGAGGAGCAGGTGACTTCATTCTCTGGTCTACTTACAGTCACGGCATGCATGGAGTAGCCGAGCCCTAGCTGCCTGCAAACCACCATGGCTTCCTTTGTGGTCCAGCCTGTGCTGCACACTGTGCCCCACTTGGAGCCAACCTGAACCTCCACCCGGCCCTCATATGTGGTCCGGCCTCCCACTATCCGGATCTGCAGACATGCCCTGCTGGGAGTCAGTGAGGGGAACACACTTCCTGTCCTGTGTCTGAACTGTCTGGGCTGAAGCTAACGCTTCTAGTCACACAGTCCTCCGGCGGTGGAGAACGTGCTGTTGAAGCGGTGCTTTGGTTAAACGGCTCTAGGCCTGCAGAGCGTCAGCGTGGTTTCCAGATGAGCTCACCACGCAGCTTTAGTGGTGAGTTGCTCTTTGAGTTTGATTAGTGACTTCATGAGAAAAGACCAAAACGGTATCATGATCTTCCATGTAGGAAGAAAAAGAAGCTTCTACTGCATATGGAACTTATAATGTACTGTCATTAATACTTGCAATGTTCAAGAATACTCAGAATACACATATACCCAAACTTAGCATACAGTATGTTTTAGGAAGATATTAGAATGTGTTTCCAGATTAGTGCTGCACATATTACATAGTATGTGACTGACCAGAAGTATTGATCATATTTGAACATATATTCATAGATTTGAATGTCTTGACTGTAATGAAATGAAGTGTTCATGACAGTATATTATATTTGCATATGTCAAGTATACCAAAAGACAAGCCACTGGTGAGAGCAGCTCTGCTCTGCTGCAGGACGTTGGCCTCGGTGGTGTTAATAACCTACTTGCACGCCCTGGTTAGCGTAACCCAGGCCCAGCTGCCTGCAGACCACTATGGCCTCCTTGGTGCTCCAGGTCTCTCCACAGATCAGACCCCATCTCTGCGTCCCGTTAGAGTCCGAGCCCAGCACCTCCACGCGGCCCTCGTAACGGGTCCGCCCTCCCGTTAGTCGGATCTGTGTGTGGGGCCGAGGGGGTTAGAGCAAAGCTAGTAGATACACGAGAGCCGGGCTGGAGAAAAAACTTCATCTGTTAGAAGTTCTTTTGGTGCAAATCTTAATGGTGACATGGTTTACATGTCACGTGACCCGAATTGAAAAGATGAGCGTGAACCCTTGAGTTTTTATCCCACTTAGTCCGTCCTCAATGTGTATCTACAGGAAACACGGAGGAGTATCATCTGGTGAAGTACACACTGCACAACCAGAAATACTCGGTGTTAACAGGAAGTCACTGCTGTCGCAAAAAAAAATTAAAAATAATAATAATAATTAAACAGCAGTGAAGAAGTATTGGTAGAGAGTGAAGAGGAGTATCAGCTCTTAAGCTCACATGTTACATGTTACTCACATGCAAAACCAAAAAAATGTTTAGAGCAGCAAAGAGCTAAATGAATGGTTAAAACAATAAACAGTATAATACGAGACATGTTTCAAGCTCTGTCCTATGCTACATTATTCAGAAGAACGTCTGACGCAGCTAACCAATTTACACCAATGATTTAGATCATTATTGTGCTATCTGGGGCAATAAATAGCATAAAAAGTTTTAAGATGAATCATTGCAGGAAGAAGGTTCAGCTCTGACCGAGTCCTCGAGTCCCATGTGGGGCACGTTGCAGCGGACGGCAGCATCCTCCACGTGCTGACAGTCCTCTGATGTGATGTTTTTAAAGGGGCAGTTCCAGATGGACTTCTCGTGGCCGATGCACTTCACCTCGTTCATGTAGATCGGACCCATTCCTGGACAGACACACAGTCTCACAGACACACAGACACACAGACACAGTCATACAGTCACAGAGACACAGAGACACAGTCTCACAGACACACAGACACACAGACACAGTCATACAGTCACAGAGACAMAGAGACACAGTCTCACAGACACACAGTCACAGAGACACAGTCACACAGACACAGAGACACAGTCACACAGACAGAGACACACAGACACACAGTCACAGAGACACAGTCACACAGACACAGAGACACACAGTCACACAGACACACAGTCACAGACACAGACACACAGTCACAGACACACAGACACACAGTCACAGAGACACATTCACAGACACACAGACACAGTCTCACAGACACACAGTCACAGTCACACAGACACACAGTCACAGAGACACATTCACAGACACACAGACACACAGACACAGTCTCACAGACACACAGTCACACAGACACAGTCACAGAGACACAGTCACACAGACACACAGTCACACAGACACACAGTCACAGAGACACAGTCACAGACACACAGACACACAGTCACAGACACACAGTCACAGACACACAGACACAGAGACAGTCTCACAGACACACAGACACAGTCACACAGTCACAGAGACACAGACACAGAGACACAGTCACACAGTCAGACACAGTCACAGTCACACAGACACACAGACACAGTCACACAGACAGTCACAGA